AACAAAGAGTGAAAAATTTAAGGGGGTCTGAATACTTTCCGTACCCACTGTATATATCCTACTACCTGTCAGCTTGATTCTATTCCATCTCATCTTCTCCAAGCCATTTCTCCTGCAGTTGCATCTGCACTCACTCACATCATTAACACATCCCTTCACACTGGTGTTTTTCCCTCAGCATTTAGACAGGCTCATATAACCCCACTACTTAAGAAACTCACCCTTAACCCATCTCTTTTAGAGAACTACAGACCGGTTTCCCTTCTTCCTTTAATTGCAAAAAACACTTGAACAAGCTGTGTTCAACCAAATCTCTGCCTTTCTCACACAGAACAACCTCCTCGACAGCAACCAGTCTGGTTTCAGAAGTGGACATTCAACCGAGACTGCCTTGCTCTCAGTTGTTGAAGCCCTAAAACTGGCAAGAGCAGATTCCAGATCTTCAATACTTATCTTGCTGGATCTGTCCGCTGATTTTGACACGGTTAACCATCAGATCCTCCTATCAACCCTATTGGCAAAGGGCATCTCAGGAACCACACTCCAGTGATTTGAGTCTTGTCTCTCAGATAAGTCCTTCAAGATATCTCGGAGAGGTGAGGTGTCCAAGTCACAACATCTAACTACTGGGGTGCCTCAGGGCTCAGTTCTTGGACCACTTCTCTTCTCTGTCTACATGGCATCACTAGGTTCTGTCATTCAGAAACATGGCTTTTCATATCACTGCTATGCTGATGACACTCAACTCTACCTCTCATTTCATCCTGATGATCCGACAATATATATATAAAATTTGTTTTAGTTTAGTTGGACAAATGTAAGTCAAAACATACAGTATAGTTGATTTTTTTTCCATTGATTAAAAAAAAAAAAGAAAATAATAAAGAAATAATAATTGTTTAAAAAAAAATTAAATAAACCTTTGTTTCTTTGTTTTTGTGTTTATTTAAAGCAGGGGTCACCAAACTCAGTCCTGGAGAGCTGATGTCCTGCAGAGTTTAATTCCAACTTGCCTCAACACACCTGCCTGGACGTTTCAAGTATACCTAGAAAATCCTTGATTAGCTGGTTTAGGTGTGTTTTGATTAGGGTTAGAGCTAAACTCTGCAAGACACTAGTCCTACAAGACCGAGTTTGGTGACAGTGTGAAAAAATATGAAAAAGTAATATTAATCAATCAATCAATTACTTAATTAATAATACACACACACACACACACACACACACACATATATATATATATATATATATGAAGAGTTTGGTTCCAAAACGCTATAAATCCATGTTGATTAATTTGAGTAAAAATGTGTTTTCTTTACCAAGAAAGTGGCAAGATGAAAACCACTATTTTCTGTTTCAAATTTTCACATAGCATCTTTAGGTTATAATAACATTAAAAATTCAAATCCAGATTTTGATTTTCAAAGATTTATTATTATTTAGACTAAATTATTTATTTATTATTATAAAATTGTATTATTTTTTCCCAAAATGCAATAAATCCATGACACGTTTTTTTTTTTTTTTTTTTCAAAATGCAATAAATCCTTTGAATCAATATAAAAGTTATTTTTCATATTGAAACTGTTGAAAATACACAACATAGTAAGTTGATCCACATATGACAGCCTCTGAACTTGGTCAATACTAATCTTATATGCAGGTTCTGGACTAAAAATACATTCAATCAGTCATTGCTCCCAAAATGAATTCAACGGGTCATCTTGTTAATGCTATAAATTAATTACAACAATAAAATAACATTTCATCATGAACATACATGAACAACAATATCACATTAAACCACAGAAATTCCAAAATGACATTTCCCTTACATTCAACTTCCAAAAGTGCATTCATCTTTGCCATGTTACATTCATTTAGTTGACTAGTGCTATACGCTGTATTAACAAAAACATAAATGGCATTAATAAAAACACTTACACTGACAAGCTACGCAATATCGCGTTCATAATCGAATGCGACTCATCTGCGATTATGAACGCGATATAGCAGTGATCTACGGCTCTATGTATTAAATGCTACTCCATCTGAAAGCACGTGATGGAGTTTTACTATTAATCACAGAACCGGCTTTACTGA